GAGCCTCGAGTCTGCCTTATTAAGGCCGGTGTCCAGGGGGCCCCATGAACATGGCTGCCGCGGCCGCGACATGGGTGTGCCTAGCCATGGCCGCCGCGATGAAGGGAGGCACTCCTGGTGTTCCTGGAGGCCCCACTCCGGAGAACATCAACCCAGAACCGAAACTCGGGTGCAACAACGGCCTCGCTGACAACCTCAGCTTCTCGATTTCGGCCTCCTGCAGACGCTTCGCCTTCGCCCGCCTGTTCTGGAACCAGATTTTCACCTGCAACATCGGAAAATTGCCTATGCAGTTCCTCTGCCTTTACTGCTAACCCTCTAATACATCTGGCTCTCATTAAAATTAGGTTGCTCTTCAAACCTTGTCATTATACATTAAACCTTAGCTTTATACATGAACAGACTTTAGAAGCTACAAACCAGGTACTCAGGTACAATTGAACTTGTCTGACCCGCCATTTGAGAGTTAACCTATGTTCTTACAAGTTTGACGTTTAGCTAAACCTGCCTGTAATGTGTACTTAACTTGAAATTAAATATGAAGTTAAAAAATAAATAAACAAACGATCAAACATGGATTAGTACACACGTTTATTCTTTATCTTGATGAAAATCAATGTTGATTTCAAGGAATGTAGCTTAATAAAATGTGTACCTTATAATATGAGACTTGTGGCGATGAAACTTGAACGGTCATTTGATGATTTATTGTTAAAATTGGTTTTGGTAGATTTAGTGTTTAAATTGGTTTTGGTGGATTTAGTGTTTAAATTGGTTTTGGTAGATTTAGTGTTTAAATTGGTTTTGGTAGATTCAGTGTTAAAATTGGTTTTGGTAGATTCAGTGTTTAAATTGGTTTTGGTAGATTTAGTGTTAAAATTGGTTTTGGTAGATTTAGTGTTAAAATTGATTTTGGTAGCTTTAGTGTTAAAATTGGTTTTGGTAGATTTAGTGTTTATATTGGTTTTGGTAGATTCAGTGTTAAAATTGGTTTTGGTGCATTTAGTGTTAAAATAATTTCTCCATTGCAATTTCTACAATTGTCCAAAGTAACCAACCAAATGTAACAACACTTTACAATTATCAAAACTTTCAGAGTGACCTAAAGTCACTCCAGTTTCTAAAATTTTGTTCATTCTCAAAATTTGCTCCTAGCCAAATTTGAGTCTCTTACGAAAAGAGGCTACTCGTAAAGCGCAAAAGCAGTCAACTGACGAGGAGCTCCGATACGGTCGTAATTAAATAATTACGCTATCGATCAAGTGGGCGTACGTAAGCGGTAACAAGGGACCAGGATTGGCGAACGGCTAGAAAATACACGCGCGATGTTGCATGAACGGCTATTTAGCGCGTAATTAGCCGGCTGAAATTGGTGAAAGCAACGATCGAGCGTGGCGACAGGAATGCGTTCGATGTGTAGTACCTAGAAAAATATGTCGAATTCGTCTCGCTAATTGTATTTGCACAGATGCGACTAAAATTACATCTAGCAAATCAGTAGCCAGTTGGAATCATTCGGTAGAAAATTTTACGTTAACGAATCGGATACTAATTGGCATATTCGTGTTAGACTATGTTGCTAATTAGGTAGACATTTAATGGCTGCCTATTTGCAACTTTGTTACACGCGATCCTGAGACTCGTAATTATTTTTGAACATATATGGAGTGTTTTTGAGATTGAAGTAAAGGAATTGATACTTTGAAAAAAATTTATTCTAAAAATGGTTTCTTGGATTAACTTGATTGGGAATTTGAGAGAGTGGGAACTTGGGAGAGTGGAAATTAGAGAGAGTGGGAATTTGGGAGATTGGAAAATTTGAGAGATTGGAAATTTGAGAGTTCTGGAATTTGGGAGCTTGGGAACTTGAGAGTTTTGGAACTGGGGAGATTGGGAATATGAGAGTTCTGGAATTTGGGAGCTTGGGAACTTGAGAGTTTTGGAACTGGGGAGATTGGGAATTTGAGAGAGTGGGAATTTGGGAGAGTGGGAATTTGGAAGATTGGAAAATTTGAGAGATTGGAAATTTGAGAGTTCTGGAATTTGGGAGCTTGGGAACTTGAGAGTTTTGGAACTGGGGAGATTGGGAATATGAGAGAGCGGGAATTTGGGAGAGTGGGAACTTGAGAGTTTTGGAACTTGGGAGATTGGGAATTTGAGAGAGTGGGAATTTGGGAGAGTGGGAACTTGGGAGATTGGGAATTTGGGAGAGTGGGAACTTGGGAGATTGGAAATTTGAGAAAAAATGGTTTCTTGGATTAACTTCATGAGAGATTTAGATGCAATAATTTTGATATTTTGGATAAACAGCTCACATAATAGTTGTACATAATGTTGCAGATGATGGTTTTAATTAAGTGGTTAACGATGGCCCTGGCAATTAAAATTTTTAAACGAGATATCGAATTGCCCATAAAATGAAAAGTTTAAGAGACAAGCTTGCGACATTAACATATTACAAAGACATCATGCACGCGAGTTAGCAGATAATTCGAACGTTAATATCGAGAGAAAGGTACGCATGTAACGACGACAATGTTATCATTATCGTGGTTATTATTCTCGTTACCATTATTTTTATCGTGCATAATGCTCGTTGGCTGGCTGATTCCCTTCGAATTAGCATTAAGCACCCCGGAGCACGCGTAACGAGTTCAAGGAGCCGTAATCTGATCGCTAAAATGGGCAAAATGTTGAACGACCGAGGGGGTAAATAAAAATGCAGATGTTAAAAAACGATACGGATCGGGTAACTGTTTAATAAATCAGACACAATGTCGGTGCCGTAGGTAACAGGCCTGGAGGATACTCGTCGTAGCACTTAGAAAGTAGAAATCTCGCGTCGCGTGACAATGTGCAATCAAATCGTTGCTGGTTCTCTGGATAGAAAAGACACACAGCAATATTCTTGCCGAGTTCTTCTTTCTTCACGACTTCCTGTTTTTCACGGTCCTACGCTAACGCGTTCCGACGTTTGCGCGCAATTTTCCACAGATACGAATAGTAAAGACTTTGTTTCCCTTTTTTGTTCCAACGTTTCTCCAGCCGGTTTCTCCTTTACTCGAACGATTAAATTCCCTTGAATCCGCGATTCTATGATTAATTTACTCGAACGAGATTAATGAGTCGTGAACTATATTTATGGAATTAATATCAACGCAATTAGTACCTTTACGCTCCGCTTCTAATTAGTGCAGAATTCATTTCCTGGATCTCGGTGATTCAATACTTTTACTTCGCTTTCTATTTTTTCGTACTTTCAGTTTTTGGACTTTTATTGGAATTTTTAGATTTTGCAACTTTCATGTTTTAGAATTTTTAGATGTTCAGAACTTGTCCTTTTGGGGACTTCGAAGTTTTGGTAGGTTAGAATTTTAGATCTTGAAGCAGGAATTTTAGAGAATGTTCAGAATTTTCGAATTGTAGAATTCAGAACTTTAGACTACAGAGATTTTCCCGAAATCGGAACTCGGTAAGGAGAAATCGAAGGATCAGTCACGGCTCGAAATTATTTCCAGGAACGACACTATAGCATTCTAACGGCGTGAATATCGCAACCGAAATCGCGAACATACCTCTTCGTCGCGAGTGAATAATGAGAGGTGAGAGCAGCGCAGGGTGGCGATCCAGTTCTGTTTCGGAAGGACGAAGAGGACAGGAGGCGAGGAGATTTGCGGGGACGATCGTAGCTTATCTAAGCAAATGAATACGACGAAGCTTCATTTCGTCCCGATGCGTTCTAATGTATGCGCAAAGTGTATTTGAACACGCTAACTGCACGATAATAGGTTTCGTCGCGATTGTCTTTTTGTCCGCTACACGTGTCACGAGACAGCCTTTCGAATTAATGCCCCCAAGAATTCGACGAACTTCGATTCTGTTATAAATATCGATAGCAAAATAATGTTTAACTTATAGCAAAAGGTTTAGAAGAATGATCGTATTTTTCTTGAAGTCCCCGTGATGGGAATCTTTGCATACGGTTTATACAAATGGCTACATTACACATATCGATAGCAAAATAAAGTTTAGCTTGCAGCAAAAGGTTTAGAAGAACGATCGTATTTTTCTTGAAGTCCCCGTGATGGGAACCTTTGCACAAGGTTTATACAAATGGGTGCAAATAAACGCTTAGTGCAAACGGTGCCATAAAACTTGGTCTCCATTCGTTAAAAGAACATATGTTTTCATTAAAAAATCAAAGATTATCTGCGTATCAAGATAGGATGCATTCATAAAAATTTCGAAAGCGTGCAAGTTTAATTTAATTTATTTTTCCCCGCGGATAAAAATATCGACATAAATCAAGACGATAATATCAGGTAAGTTTATTCTTTCGTGCTTCGTATTTCTTTGGAATACACACGATTCGCCTCGCGCGGCTCTCAATGGAGTCATTAAGGTAGCACGAATTTCACGAAAAGCATCACTCGAATTCATATATAACCATTTGTTACGGTGTCAGAAATGACGACGCGTGTCGCGTTGCGCGCAAACAATTCTTAGCTCGATCGTTACCCGGTGCCATTTTGAACCGCGGAACACACGCCGCAACGAGTCTTTGATCATTTCGGCTGATACAAAAATTAACTATAATATCGTTTCATTACGTTCAATTTAATTAACGTCAATCATGTTAATTGCTATCCGCTCCGTACAAGGGTGTGTAATTACCCGGCTGAACGTGATGTACCCGATGCCAGACCAAAGAATTTGCTCGTTTTGATCGTACTACGGCGCACTGTTACGAAACACGAAAGAAAGAAAAGCGAGCCGTATCGATGGAAAGAAATAACTTGGATAATTGAATTAGAAATTTACCATTAATCATATGTACCCCTGTGTGCCTTGTTTTCCTCTGACTCAATTATACGAGTCGAAACATTCTTAGGGGTTTACGTCTCTATTTCAGCGATAATCGATCAGCGGTTCAAGGCGAACGATATATTTTGCAGTTGGTTTTTAACCTTCTCCTAGTCACGATCTTTTCATTATGAGAAACATTAACGGTGTACTAAAATCAGTAACTTGAAGACTACGATTTTAAAATTAGTAATAAAGATGAAACAGTGTGGACTTAATTATAGATTAAAAATTACACGTTGCAGATTACAAAGTAAATTAAAATATATTATACTTGTAAAAACTGTAATTAAAACTTTCGCACCGACTGTCAAAGCAAGAAACCGCTACGAAGCACCAGACTTAAAATTACAGTAAAATTACAGCAAACTACAGTACAGATACAGTGTAACCCATCTCACGATAATTGACCTGCAACTTCCCCCCACAAAAATTCGATACCCTTCAATTAATGCAACTTGTCTATCTCCACGAAGAAATTGCGAATAATTAAGTCCTACATATAAACGCTCTTCTAATTACCCTGACCTATGTGTATTCCGCATGGAACGATCTCAAAGACGTTATTCCCAGAGAGAAGACACCGTGTACGCGTTCACGAAGGCAAACAGCGTACAAGATGGTACTCTAATGGTTAATCGTCGGTTGCACGGAGGTTAATGGCTACCACCGACGAGTCTCTCTCACCTGCGTTTCCGTGAGGTGAAGGGACGACGAGAATTCTGCTCGTTCGGCGATCGTTAGGTACTGCTTTTCGCGAAACTTTTTCTCCAACGAGAGCAGCTGTTGCGTGGTGAACGGTGTCCTCGGTTTACGATTTGGCTTGTGCTTCCTCAGGGTGCACCTGACTGGCCCGGGACCTGGACCCGGCAGCCTCAAGTCGCCTGAAATCAATCCGAAAAACTGTCGATCAGTGGCAAAACACGATTGGGACTGGTTCTCGAAGAGGGGTGTAATGAATTAGAAGCATTTCGAGGGAATCTTCGAGTCCCATAAGATTCATGGGGCTTTTACAAGGAACTTCTTTTTAGGGCTTGTCATAACTTTGTGTTGGTTGCATTTTGGATGGATGGTAATTCGGCACGAAGATGTTCAACGCGTGGTAATTCAACGCGTAAGGTATTCGGGGCGTGGTGACTCCGTGCGTGAGTATTCTATGCATGGTAATTTGACGCGTGGTAACTCAATACGTGGTAATCCAGCGAGTGGTAATTCGACGCGTAGTAGTTCGGTACATAGGTATTCCACGCGTGGTAATTCGATGCGTGGTAATTCGATACATAGGTATTCCACGCGTGGTAATTCGATGCGTGGTAATTCGATGCGTGGTAATTCGACGCGTGGTAATTCGACGCGTGGTAATTCGACGCGTGGTAATTCGACGCGTGGTAATTCGACGCGTGGTAATTCGACGCGTGGTAATTCGACGCGTGGTAATTCGACGCGTGGTAATTCGACGCGTGGTAATTCGACGCGTGGTAATTCGACGCGTGGTAATTCGACGCGTGGTAATTCGACGCGTGGTAATTCGACGCGTGGTAATTCGACGCGTGGTAATTCGACGCGTGGTAATTCGACGCGTGGTAATTCGACGCGTGGTAATTCGACGCGTGGTAATTCGACGCGTGGTAATTCGACGCGTGGTAATTCGACGCGTGGTAATTCGACGCGTGGTAATTCGACGCGTGGTAATTCGACGCGTGGTAATTCGACGCGTGGTAATTCGACGCGTGGTAATTCGACGCGTGGTAATTCGACGCGTGGTAATTCGACGCGTGGTAATTCGACGCGTGGTAATTCGACGCGTGGTAATTCGATACATAGGTATTCCACGCGTGGTAATTCGACGCGTGATAATTCGATATGCAGGTATTCGATGCGTTGTAATTCGATGCGTGGTAATTCAACGCGTAGTAATTTGATACGTAGGCGTTCGACGCGTGGTAATTCGATATGACATAATTCGATCACCGACTACTACATAAATATCACTCCAACACGCAATAGTTCTACACATATCACTTCAGTGTACAACAGTTCATCGCACAATAGTTCAATGCATAGTAACGTTAATTATAACAGAGCCACCCATGGTAGTACACTAACATAACACATGGAATCTTAAGATTGAACAAATCTTGAATAATTATAGGGTCACCCGAGTAAGGTAGTCGAAAGTAGAATGTTTCGCTGTTAGTTTCATAGGGAGATTGCAAGTGACCGAGCAGGCTCGAGACGGGAAAATGAATTAACAGTAGCCCCGAAAAGTCGACGCGTTACACGATTAAACGATGTACGAGCGGAATAATTAACGCGACCGGTTACATTGCGAAGGTGAATTAAGATATCGACCGGTCGAAGAGTGTTTTCTCGCAGCGCGATAGCTCGCATAATTATTGGCCAACTATCGGGCTTGATAAATCGTTCAATGTCGTTGCAGCTGCACAGAAACCAAGATATCGGGAAGAACTTCCAATTATTCGAATTTTCTTTTTCTTCTTTCGTTTTGGTGTCACGCCCGGTCTCGATTAAGATATTTACAGATGTTTATTGGGCTCGTTTATTTAACCTGCATGCATACGTATGTACGTGTAATAATGTATAATTAACGCGAAGGGCTGCGTCCTTTGCTCTTGAACGCCTTTCGAGCTGAATTTCAATTAACGAAAATATTATACGAGTCGGTGGTGGGAGCATGGAAATTAAAATGGCATCAATATCGTTTAAGGTTTATCGCCGACGAACGTTCTCCGAATAACCCGATGTCATTGCAGGCTTCGTAATATTAATCATGTTTACACAGATTTGTTCGAACGGTGCAAAATTATCGGCTCGTTATTTCTGTGCACGCGTTGCATAATAACTGTACGCGAACCGATGATAACGTTAATTAATGCCCGGTCGATGGCATCGGCCAGAAAACGTCCCTTTAATCCTTTCAATTTTCAAATATAAGAGATGGATTTCATTCTACGCTAAATTTCATTTCCTACCAATTTCACGCCTGGCTATAGCGCTTAGTAGCTGCTATACAATGCGACGCAATTCTATGCCTTACAATACCGAATACATGCGTGGCGATACAACGGTGCTAATACAAGTCATTCGGAGCGTGGTAGTTCGATGCGTGGTAATTTGACACGCAGGTATTCGGCGCGTAGTAATTCGGTGCGTGGTAGTTCCACGCGTGGTAATCCGATGCGTGGTAGTTCCACGCGTGATAATTCGATGCGTGGTAGTTCCACGCGTGGTAATTCGATTCGTGGTAGTTTCACGCGTGATAATTGGACGCGTGGTAGTTCCACGTGTTGGAAATTCGATGCGTGGTAGTTCCATGCGTGGTAATTCTATGCGTGGTAATTCCACGCGTGGTAATTCGATGCGTGGTAGTTCCACGCGTGGTATTTCGATGCGTGGTAGTTCCACGCATGGTAATTCGATGCGTGGTAGTTCCACGCGTGGTAATTCGATGCGTGGTAGTTCCACGCGTGGTAAATCGATGCGTGGTAATTCCACGCGTGATAATTCAATGCGTGGTAGTACCAAGCGAGGTAATTTGATGCGTGGTAGTTCTACGCGTGGTAGTCCAACGCGTGGTAATTCGGCACGTGTGACAATTCTAAACTTTCTCCATAAACCATGGTGACCAGAAAGACTTAATTTATTCAATTCGTTTGCTTAAAGTCCTTAACTGTAATACTACGTATAATTTTCACCACATAATATTAAAGAAGCGACGAAGAAGTCATGACTAGCAAGAAATGATAAACCATAAGGGTTAGCTCGAGCATCGATACGAGCATCCAATTAATTTATTTCTCGACGCGAGAGAGTTTCATAGACGATAAGAAACCGCAATGGATGGAATGGAAAAAGACAGGACGATTCCCGCGCGAAAATTCAGCCTCATTTCGCGTTAACGATCACGCTCGCCGCCGCTCGGGTCTACATAAATTACCCGGCGGTCGATCGTGCGTGCTCGCACACGCGTTTCTCCGCAATCAGCGTCGGCCATTCGTCCTTAATCCCTCGATTTGCAGAAGCGGTGCCGGGTAAACGGCGACGCGCGGCAACCGCCACTCTGATCGAGCTGAAACGAGCGGTGAAATTGAATCGTAAAAAATAAATTGTCCCCTGTTACGAGATCGTTTCATTCCACGACGATAATTATCCTCGTGTTCGATGATTGACTCGTACGGTTTCCTCTCCGCCGCGCCGCGACGGTGAAATTTCTTCCTTCGAGAATACGCTTCGACCGTTTCACGACACCGAACCCGCAATAAAATACATACGTACGCGCCGCTCGATTTTGCGCCGGCCTGTTCTTAATTTTAAGCGAAGGGAAGAAGATTAAGGATCGTCGGAATCGTTACGGCCAGATCGTTGATGAGGTTTTTGTGGAAATGCGTGTCGTCCGAGTTATCGGTCCGTATGCCCACATTAACGGGTTCGCCAATTAATTTTTACGATTTGATCCCCGGTCAACAGTCGTATATGTCGAAAACAATACATGTTGCGTGAACAAGAAGTCGATTTGTTACGCGGGCGATAATAAACTTGTTCGAGAAGTTCATATGGCGAGCTTCTGATATTCATGATTTACTTAAGAACTAGTACTTCTTTTTTAATTCACAATTATATATTCAGATTGATAGTTAGATTGGTCAGACCATTGGTAATTCAACGCAAAGCAGTCTAATGCATAGTATGGGAGATGTGGTAATGTTGCACTTGATGGTGCAACCTGTGGTAGTCCAACGCGTGGTAATAGAATGCGTGGTGGTGTGACCCGTGGTAGTCCAGTGCGCGGTAGTTCAACGCGTGGTAGTAGAATCCGTACTAGTTCAACGCGTAGTAATTCAACGCATGGTAGTCCAACGCGTGGTAATACAATTCGTGGTAATCCAACGCATGGTAGTTCAATGCGTGGTGGTCCAACGCGTGGTATTCCAACGCGTGGTATTCCAACGCGTGGTAGTTTAACGCGTGGTATTCCAACGCGTGGTAGTCCAACGCATGGTACTTCAACGCGTGGTATTCCAACGCGTGGTAGTCCTACGCGTGGTATTCCAACGCGTGGTAGTCCTAGCGTGGTATTCCAACGCGTGGTAGTCCAGCGCGTGGTAGTCCTACGCGTGGTATTCCAACGCGTGATATTCCAGCGCGTGGTAGTTCAACGCGTGGTATTCCACCGCGTGGTAGTCCAACGCATGGTACTTCAACGCGTGGTATTCCAACGCGTGGTAGTTCAACGCGTGGTATTCCAACGCGTGGTAGTCCAACGCATGGTACTTCAACGCGTGGTATTCCAACGCGTGGTAGTCCTACGCGTGGTATTCCAACGTGTTATATTCCAACGCGTGGTAGTTCAACGCGTGGTAGTCCAACGCTTGGTAGTCCAACTCACAGTAATCCACCGTGTACTCCAACGTGTTCGTGCAACATATGGTATTTCAACGAGCCTCAAATCCATAAAACAACGTAGAACCTGTGACGATATAAGGTGCAATGCAAACATTGCAACGTACATTGCACATATTTCAGCGTGAGGAACGATAACAAATTAAAGAAAGGGATCGGTTAATGATCGGTAATGGTCGAGTGGTGAATGTAAGAAGATATTACCATCGAATTCGGTTAGGCCGAGGGCAAAAAAGGAGCATTCGAGCCGGGGACACAATTCGAAAGGATGACGATTTCAGGGCAACCGCAGGGCAACGGTGAATTCCGCGCGCTAATTAACGATCGACCAGCGACAAAAAAGGGAACAGCCTGGCGGCATTGTCGAGAACGGATCTCTCTGTCGCGACATCGGTATTACGTCTTCCATTCTGCTTGGCCGTTCCCGGTTTCGCTGGTATTCAGCGGCTAGTTGGCTAGTCCG